ATGAGCCCCGCGCCGGGCTGGAGGTGGCCAGGGGAAGGGTTGGGGATGCTCTGGATGGGGGAATTCCTAGGGGGTAGCTTTACGTTTGCTGTGAGCTTCGGTGGGGTTTGAGTTGTATTTGCCCGCTGCGTCCCCAAGGCTGGCGACCCTGCGCCTCTGCCCCGTCCCTTTCGGCAGCCGCTGTCATTTCGGGACGTGGGGGTAAAACCCTGAAGAGTTGCCCAACGCGCTGGCTGACACAACCCGAGCTGCCGGCTCCATGCCTTGCCCTGAAAGCCTTCTCTGCCTGTTGCTATTTTTCTGTACTTGGCACGATGCTCGCTCTTGATCCAGGAGGCTGCTCTTTGGAAATCTTCAGCCCCAAAATGCCTCGGATCTGGCTTGGGCGATGGTTCAAGCCGGCACAGCTCCGTGGGCTTTGGGAGCGTTTTGGCCAGGGCTGGCTCCCTGTAGGCAGCAGGACAACACAAGTTACGTGCCCAGCTCTGCGTGGGCTCTGCATCCCTCCTTTAAGTGAATCCATAGGATGCCTCTGAGTTCCGGGGAGTTAGGCGGCCGTTTGGGGGACAGACACCGATATTTAGTTGGGTGGGTGAAGCCCTGCCACTTTGATGTCCGGCTGAAGATGGGAAGCGATGGGATGTCGCGGCGAGGCCGGTGCGGCTGTGGCTGCTGGACAAGCGCTCTCTGTTTGCGTGCAGCGTTGTGCTTCATGGCTGCCTGTGTTTGCAGCTCGGGGGGGCTGGGGGGACACACGGACACAGCTGTTTCAAGTGTCTTTAATTGCTCAGGAATTTGCGTTTTCCCTCCCGGTGCCATCATAACGTGAGCTCATGCCAGAGGCTCGCAGGTAACTGGGGAGCTTAATTTCTGACCGCCTCTTCTCACGGTGCTCGTGGGAGTGTTAGCTCTGCGGCTTGGGTCTCGTGGCCAAATCCTGCCCAGCACTGCCAGAAGTTGGGAAGCTCCAAGTTTAAGCCCTGGGGCCCTGGGCTACCATTCCTTTTCAGCTTGCCGTCAGCCTGCGCTGTATTTACTGCGAACATGCAGAAAGCCCCTTCCTTCGGGGTAAGTGTTACGGTGTGATGCCGAGTGCTGCGCTGGGATCCCCGATCCCTGCTCAGGGGATGGGTGCTGAGCACCGGTGTGGGATGGCGGCCGCCAGCCTGCCTCGTGCAACTGCCTGCGGCTGAAAGGGGCCCCTCCTCCCGTCCTTTTGCCGCGAGATGCCATCAAACCTTTAAAAACAGGGGGTTTTTTTGCAGTGGGAAGTGTGTCTGGCCTTCCCCGGGGCGAGGGTGCAGCGCGTGGGAGACCTCGGTGCCTGCACCGCGTCGGCGTCCCCCTTCCGGCGGGGTTCAGCTGGCTGGGGGGGCTGAGCCCCAGGTTTGGTCAGAGCTTCCTAGGAGGGAGGTTTATCAAAACAGGCTCAGGAAAAACCCAGATCCATGTGAAAAGACCTACTAAAATTTACACATATTCCTCTAAGGCTGTGGTTCAGCCGATGAAATGGAAGTTTACGGAGAGGCACATCTGTGGGGTTGGTGGGGTTTTTTGCCAAGATTTAACTTTCCTACTTGGAGAAGATCAAAGGATCTCGCTTAAATACCCGTTTGCACAGTTAATTTTGTCCAGCTACATAACATCCTCCTTTTCAGGATTATTGAAAATGAGCGCTGAGGCTCTGGTCTTACTGGAAAAGGCTTCATAAAGTGATTTCTCCTGGGGGCCACGATGTGATTTTTTTTTTTTTATTTTATTTTTTTTATTTTGCGAGGCTTGAACTCCTGCCACAAATAACGCCGTTGCTGGCGGATGCCTCCTGAGCTCTTGCAGCTGAGGAAGAGTTTGCTGGGCTCAGAACTGTTGAAGATGCTGGTTTGCATAGACGTAAATAAAATTTTAAGTGCTAAGTGGGTAATCCTGGCGGGTGAAATCGTCCCTTCGTGAAGCAGGCTGCAATCCCATGCCTCACCTAGGGATTTGTACTGCTGAATAGCAGCAAAGTGTAAAGGCTTGTGTCAGCCTGACACTGTTATCCCCTGGAATTTATGGAGCGCCCTTTAGACTGCAGGTGTGTCTGCGGGAAAGGAGAGCTCCCGTGTTTTCCAGCGGGTCTGCTCTCCGGCAGGGACTTGCGAAATCTTTTTCCTTGATAAACCACGCAAGGAAGTGCAGTTGTGCCTCCTCTCTCCGTAATGTTCTGAACCGAACTGGGGTTTTTACCCTTATTCCTTCTCTGATAAGTGATTTTAAAGCAAGTTAGCAGATCTCCAGGGGAAGAAACGTTTAACCGCCGGTGTGGCTGCAAATTTTATTGCCTTGAAATGAAGCCATAAAGAAGATATCGGTTACTAACGTTCATACAGGCTTCTAGATTTACCTTTATCTCTAGCGAACGAGCATGCC